TTTCAGTGAGTTTCCATAGCAGGTTGACTGGTTTCACTTTAGTTTTTATTAATTTCAGTGTTAGTTTTAGATTTTAAAAAAAATCTGTAGAGATATTAAAATATAAACAGAACCTTTTGGATGCTGACTCAGTCTTGTAGACATCAAAAGCCTCAAAAAACATGATCATAAAAGCCTCATCAGGCAGTTTGTGATAGCAAATTTTTAACAAATTAACCGATAACAAAACTAAGTATATTTCATCTATAATACATTTTATTTTAGTTTGTTTTTCCCATTCACATCCCATTCAAATCGCTTCTAGTTCTAGAAGGTCTAGTTTTTATTTTTAGTTTAGCTAACTAAAATGTTTTCTCACATTTAGTTTTACTTAACTATAATAACTTTGATGTGAACCCCATGCAAGGTGGGTGACAGCGGCCCAACCACTCTTGCCCAAAGATGCTAGCATCAAATAAAATAATACAAAATAAAATACATTTACATTGCTTGACTTGGATAGTTAGTTCACCCCATCCCCAAAATACACGTTTTCTCACTTTTACTTGCCTTTTCATAGCCACTGAAAATTTAACTTCAGTGTTTACGCCTTTGACATAAGTTACAGCTAACAAAGATACTTAAAGTGTAGCTACGTAAACAAGTTTAGCTCGGTGTTTTTGTGAATCTGCTTCTGTTTAAACGAATTACACCAAACATATTAAGCGTAGGGAGGCCCAGCAGCTGATACAACTTATGAGAAGTACAGTATGGGAACAACTCAAAGGCCCCACGGTTGCTGTGACAGAACGAGCTCATACATTTTTTAATGTAAAACCTAATAAAAACATAAAACGAGCTTCACAAACGGGTGCAAACTGCTAAAAATCGGGGCTCGGTGAAGCTAACTAGCGGGCTAACCTCTTTGACAGGGGGGAATTTCTTCTTGCACTCCATGGAGAGAGACCGCAGATCCGTCTGCATGTTCTCTAGTAATTTCTTCACCGCCTCGGGACTGCTGGTCGACATCTTTGACGGCGCCTTTCGATAGAAAACCTCAGAAATACTTTAAACGTTGAAAGGAATGTGGGAGCGCGGTCGCCCCCCCACCACCCATCCACCGTGGGGGGATATAATCCGTCACTACTTTATTCGCCTCCCTCGGAAAAGGAAATAAAAACGCTGCGGTCCATTGATACGGGATCCCACTTCTGTGCTTCGAGCGCCCGTGCGCAGGTGAGCAGCGATGACACCGGCATACGTCCGACCTCCTCACAGCCAGCTGACATTAGCTTCGAGGAGTCGCATCGTTACCGTAAATTTCTGCTTCTTACGGCTGCTTACTAGTCGAAGATATCTGCTAAATTGAGCAGTCTGCCATCAGCGGCCGTGTCAGCTCCACTTTCTTTCCCACAATGCTTCGCTGGACACTGACACGTCACTTGGACTTCCGTAAACAGTGGCGTATGCAGTTGACTGCAGCGACCCCTGCAGGAAGAGATCGGCACAGACAGATAGCCACGAAGCACACAGTAGTCTGATCTGGATCACGGTATCAGCGCTTCTGCTCGGTTACCTGTCCACATACACCACCTATTGGTCCGGAAAGAGGCTGCAGGAGGCTGTCTAGAAATGTCTTTGCAGTGCTTACAAAAACAAGAAAAAAAAAAACGATTATTGGCAATATCAACAATTTTATTATTTTAAGAAATACGTTTAACTGACTAATTAAGGTTTAATTTAACTGAATATAACGTAAAATGTTTCACTTGATTGTGCATTAATTCAGCAATTAAATAGACAAGCATTTGTGAGTAGTTTGTCTTGACATCAATGTAGTCACTGCATTTACTTAAATAAAGAAGCTATCGGTTCATGAATGGCACTTTTTAAACATAAATGTGCCTCCCAGTTAATTGTTATCACAAGATTTAATGCATGAAAATGAATTGTGAGCATTATTCAGCGTGTCTATTGTTTGTGAGATAAAGAAAAAGAAAAATAAAGAAAAATATATCTACAGTCTACAGTCACCCAGAACCGCTTGTAAGTTTCCACTTAAAGCTGCACCAAGTTTCTGATTTTCTTTTCATCCAGTTTCAGATTTTTTTTTTCCAAAATAAATATGTAAATTTTGGTATTTGTTCTGCATCTCACATGGATCCCTTCACCGGCTGCTTTCAGTGCTGCCTTGCTAAGGAATGCGATTTTGTCTTTGGGGAGGTGGAGTGCAAAGTTTCACACCTTAGACTCTTTTAACTGCCATGAAAAGAGTGGAAAAACAACCCCAATATTATCAGAAGCACAGTAACAATCCTTTTACAATTGGAGTGGAATTATTACTTTCAAACATATTGGTTCTGTTAAACCAATCATTAACCAGATTAATTCAGTGTTTTCTGTATCAAAACAGTTATAGAACACATTTACCTGGTGTTACACCAAGTAATTGACACCAAATAGCTTGGTGCTGCACTCCAGCCAGTACCTCACCTTTTTCAGTAACTCACACTTCTGACACTAAATGTCAAATTGTGACATTTTACTTCAGGACCACATGCCGAATCCTGTCAAAACACTAGAAGAGAATACCCCAAGCAATTCACTAATATTTCTGAGGATTTTCACCACTTTGAAGAAATGACAGAGGAAGTTTTTGTGTTAGTCATACCATCTCCTCAGGGTCACTGCCTATAAATACTTTCTTGTACAAGAGCTTCTGATGTTTTATTTTTGAATTTGTTAAATGCCTGTCATTCTTTATACTGATGTAAGACAATGTCTTCTACTTTGAAGATCCAAGGGCTAAAACTAAATTCATAAACCTCTACATTTTTATATGTGTACTATAAGACAGAAAATGATAAGAAACTAAAACCGGGAGTGCATATTCATCTGCCTGGAATACCTGGTATGATGGCTGATACTGACTAACACTCCGGCGTTGTACATATATGCATCGATTTCTCATGCTGATGATGTGTAGCGGCAGAGAAAGTGCGCCCTTTTTCACTTCTAAGGTTCACATACCAGGAGATTTAAAAATAAAATATTGTCCAACCTCTCCAGCCTTAAAATTAGGTAAATACCACCTGACATGAACAAAACATGATATATCACATGGTGTCATTATTTATTGATGAAAAACTAAGACAAAAATGCAGAAACACAGTCTACATGAAAATTTAAGCACACCTTAATGGCTTTCAGAGGAATTAAGAGGTCATGTCAATAAAAGGCATTTGATTATGTGATCATCAGAACATTCAGGTGTGTGCTACCATAATTCCACGGAGGGAAAACATCAAAAATTATCCCAGGCAACCAACTGTCGGTGCCCACCAGTCTGAGAAGGGTTATGAGGCCACTTCCAAATAGTCCATCATTCTATAGTGAGAAAGATTATTCACAAGTAGTAAATATAAAACAATAAAAGGATCATGACAGTACAATCTCTAAAAAAAACACTGAACAAACAAATGAAGAGGTTGTGCTGAGAAGGTGGAAGGAGTACACTGAGGGGTTGATTAATGAAGAAAATGAGGGGGAGGATAGAGGACCGTTTGTGAATCAGGAAGTGAAGAGGCTCAGTAAGGTAGGAGAGGGCAACTATGAGGTGGGCAAAGAGTGTAAAGGTAGTGCGTCCAGATGACAAACTTGTAGAAGTATGAATATGTCCAGAAGAGAGGGCAGTGGAGTTTTGACTAGATAGTTTAACACAGTGATGAAGAGTGAGCGGATGTCTGGGGAAAGGATAAGCATGGTCAAATTTTCAAAAAGAAGGGTGATGTGCAGTGCTGAGATAAAGCTGATGAGTCACACCGTTATGATATGGGAAAGAATTGTTAAATCTAGGTTTAGAAGAGGGGCGACGATCAGTTAGGAGCATAAGTATATGAGGGTGGCACTGCATGAGAGGAGTGAGACATTGGTGAGGTGTGTGGTAGGAGTGATAGATGGGTTCATGGGTTAGTGAAGGGAGGCGAGCTAAATGACTTCCAAAGCAACACACAGTGCACAAGAGAGGTGAAGAAGAGAGTGCAGGCAAGGTGGAGTGGGCATAGACAGGTGTCAGGGGTGATTTTTAGAAGCAGAAGTAGTGTCATATGTGTCATATGTAAATAATAATAATAATAATAATACAGAAATACTGAGACTCACTTCACACAGCAGTCATAGAGACATTCTGATATGACAAAATAGCATAAAGTTATAAAAATGTAATAAGGCAAAAATAAATAAAATGAGTAAATAAGGGCAGGGATAGCTCAGTAGGTAGAGTGGTGGCCCCATGACTGGAAGGTCGGGGTTTCGAATCCACTGAATGGCTACCCTGAGGCACACCTGAGCAAGGTACCGTCCCCACACTCTGCTCCCCAGGTGTCCAATGGCTGCCCACTGAGTGACTGGGCTAAATGCAGAGAGGAATTTCCCCACAGGGATCAATAAAGTATACATTATTATTATTATTATTATTATTATTATAAAAATGTCCAAGAAATTCACAGAGAAAGTACAAGTAATAAATGTGCAAACAGTGAAATGAGTCAGGGACCTGAGGCTTTTTGTTTTTAAACAAAAGCCTGATTTTTGTTTATGCTTGTGCAAGTTTGCAAAGAGATCTGTACTGATTAGTGTGATAGCAGACAATAATAAATACAACATAATAATACAGTTGGACTCTATAGCTGTGATGAGGTAAGAGAGGGACTGTGTAAATTGTTTTATTCAGGAGTCTAATGGCCTGTGGGCGGAAGCTGTTTGAGTCTTTTAGTCCTCGATGTCAGACTCCTGTAGCACTTGCCCGAGGGCAGAGGTGTGAACAGGTGATGTTGTGTGTGTTTACTGACCTTTATGGTGTTTTTTAAGTACGAATAAGTACACTTTAAATTGTCAAAACATAAAATACAGCATTTATTTTTTACCTATAGCGTAGACGTCCTGGTTGGGTTGTGTGATTTGAATGTAAAATTCTACATAAATGTTCATAACTGGAAATGAGGCATCACATACACAATTGCTAAAATGTAAAACATTTATTTGTAATCAAGGCCAACACAAATTCATTAAAGATGTCCCACAAAATATACACATGTAGTAGAAATATATGTTCCAAATGAAGGTATTTGTATTCATTCATTTAAAAAAAAGTGTTTTAGCGTATAAAATTTTATAACAAAAAGTGTTCTTGCTCCATAATCAGTGATCATATATTCATTTCAACATGTAAAGAAAAAGAAACACAGGTTGAAGTTCATTGCGATACAGCAGAAAGAGATAACAAGCTTCTTCTTCTTCTTTTTTGGAATGAATCTCCTGCATTGGAACTCACTTCTGATATAATCTAAGTGGATCAACTGTCCCTTTGCTTTGGGTACCTTTTAACTTTATTTCATACATTCCCAGAATTAGACATAAGGCACATTAAAACAAGACTAAATTAAATCCATGTCAAGAATCTGAACATTTAACATAAACATTTAATATAAAACATCAATACAAATCCGCAGTGCCCAAAGCAGACCAAAATTATACAGAGAAGCCTTTAAAATGGTACAAACAGTATTAAGATAAAAAATAAACAAACATTAGAGTTTAAGTGGGTTTATTTGTAGAAATTTAACCAGTCTTTTTATCCTGAAGCATTGGTTACTAAAACACTTTGTGTAGTAATGTTTCTTATTACTTTTTTTTTTTTTTTACCAATCCTGAGAGAACACCTCAACTGTTGGTGGATAAACAATGTGGTTCTCCTCTGTATACATTAAGCAGATTAATTTAAGCCCAGAGGGGTTTGTGAGCTGTGGGATCATGTGACACTTTCCTGCACTCAGTCTGCAGCAGGCGGCTGTTAAATTTAATGAAGCAGCCAGAATGAGATTCGCTGAACATTAGAGATGTCCACAACAGAAGAAAATGCTTCCTTAGAAAGCAGACACAGTCAAATGTAAATTCTTTGCCACTGTGTAACAGCAGTGTTTACATTGTCACGTTACTCTGCCACAGGCAAATGAGATGTCAACCCACTTTCAAATAACGGAAGTAAATCTTTGCGTAATGTTGCTGTTGCCATCATATGGTACAGTACTGTGCAAAAGTCTTGAGTCACCCCATCGTTTCTTTATAGTGTTGATTTTTTTAGCGGTTGATCTCCAGGCTTTCTGAAGATGGTTTGCTTTTTCATTCATTCCAATTCCATTCCATTCCATCCCAATTCTTATACCTGACTATTTTGAAGGAATGTTTTTTATATATGACCTGTTTAACACTGACCTGTGAATTATTTGCAAAAACCTAAGTCACCCAACTCCAGGTATTAACCAGTGTTGTGTCTACACACAACAGACAACTTTGAAAAACTCACTTTGAATTGTATCTTTAGGCACTTTACTAGCTGCCTGTTGCAAAAACAGTATTGTCATAGAAAGAGTATTTTTGCACCAACAAGGTGATTCCTAAAAACCTATTACGTGAAAACCTAGCATAGCTTAGAATGGTGTGCAATTTGTACTTAAAAAATTTGAGGAAACAGAACAAGTGGCCAAAAAAGACAAAGCATGGTATGGGTCTGCATTTCAACCATTGGTACTGGGAATCTTGTCAAAAATGATGGAATTATGAAAGCAAAAAAGTACCATCAAATTTTCACCCACCATGTAATACAATCTTGAACATGTCTGATTGGTAGTAATCCCAAACACACTGTCAATACAGTAAAAATGTACCTGGACAGAAAAACACACAGTGGAACACTAATAGTCAAGGATTGGCCTCCCCATAGGCAACATTACTGAGGCAGTGTGGGATCATCTTAACAGAGAATGGAACAAAAGACAGTCAACAGCCAAAGAACATCTAAATGTCCTTCTGGAAGCCTGGAGAACTATTCCAAAAGGTTGCTTTTTGCCTCAAATACTCTATTACCATGTATGGTTGCATGTTTCAGTAGATCACTGCACCTATTTCACATTTTGCTAGCAAAATATAAAGAAATGAAGGGCAGCTCAGGATATTTGCACAACACTGTGTACTGAAGGCACCATGCAAAGAAGAAAGTTCCAGCAGCCAATAGCAGGTGAGCAGACTGTAAAAGTCTGCATACACGTCTGTTTTCACCAGCTTATCTTGTGAGGTAATACAGAGAGAACAGTGATGGGGCCAGTCACTGAGAGCCTCACAGTGACATCTGACCTCTAAATAGACTCCGATTCCAACCCTCAAACTTCTAGCAATGAGACTCCTTTTCACCAACAGGGACGTAACCATCTCGAGAGGGAGGTGCTTTCTGATGGAGGCTTTCACCGTCTGCTGCAAAGATGGTATGGAGTGCCTCCTGCTCCTGCTTTGTCTTTGGTAACTCAGTGGAAGGAGTGCTTAGAAGAACAAAACGCTGTGAACAGAAAATTGATTAAAAAACAAAGCATGTCAGTGATAGGATGTCTGACAAACTGATCAATTGTTCTTCAATTTCTAATAAACCTTTTTTTAACTTAAAGACATTCATTATGATTTTGAAACTTGAACTCCATGTGTCTTGTTTCTCTCCCTCTCTCTCTCTGCCATCATTTCATTTCACCCAGTTATTTGGATTTTCTATTATCACCTCTTTGGGTTCATCTTGTTGCCTGCTGGAATGATCTCAGTGGGATTTGCGATGGATTCATTTCATCGCTGCCTTGCAGGACTAGTTGTCATTTATCTGTAAACTCATTAAAAGGTACTCTTGCTCATTTACCTGCTTGCTTGTGTCTGCATTTGGGACATGGTTTTGGGAAGGTGGGGGCATGGTAAGTTACAATGTTTTCCTGCTGAAAACCTGCAACAATATTCTTATTTGGTGAATACCTTAACTAACACAAGATAGAAGTTCCTTTTATTCACTTAAGATAATGGTGTATATAAATAAATATATTCAAATATTATGATGAATTCTATGGCAGCTGCCAATTTCAGACTATAGAAATAGTGAACGGATGATCCAGAACTTTTTCAAAGTAAAGCAAAAAGGAAATGCTCTCGAGATATGTATACATACTTCTATAACAAATTATTTCAGCAAACAAATTGAACTATTGTTCATTCAAAAATACTGAATTATGACGAATCTGACTGGTTTTGTTTGTGTGGTTCAATCTTTAAGGAGCCAGTTTTTTCATATGCACAGAAAAATCCAAACAGTTTCGGACTTACTTCTCTCAGTGTTCCTGGGGTATTGTACAGTTTGAATGCCATACAAAGCGGTATGCAAAGCATGGAGGACAGAGCCAGGATCCAACCGATCCCATCCGCCCACAATGGGTACACATAATTATTATTGTACTTCAAAGGTGAGTACTTGATTAAGGCAAAGGCAAAGGTTCCCTGTGTGAAAGTATGATAACACTGATAAATAACTGACATTTAATACACCAGTGAATACTTTGACTGTATAATTTTGGTATCATCTTAAGATATTAGCTGAGTTTTATTGAAATGTATTTCTAATTTTGACCAGCAGAGGTTGCTCTACTTTTAGAAGAGAACTTAATAAAGCAAAACTCACAAAGCATGTTGCAGGAGTGAAGAAAAGCCAGCAGTATTTAATGGCAGGGCCGGGGCGATAGCCAATCATATCCTCAATGTTATCATAGAAGCGATCTGCACCTGTGGTTAGAGGAAAGTTGGATCAGTGACCAGTAGAGAGCTTAAAACCCCCAGCACACTATTATTTTAATAAAACAAGTTGCAGTTATTTTCAACTAGTAATGATCATTTCTTTAATTCCTTTGAACTCAAACCATCAATCTACACCTTTCATTTTATGGATGGTCTCTATTAGCAAATTAAGCACTGAGCATTTTTAAGTTCCAACAGTCTTTTTTCATTCATTTCATTTCATTCATTCATTTATTTGTTCATTTCAGGCACAACAAAAATACATATATTGAACATAAAGTGCACAAAACAAAAAACAAAAATTACCTGAAAAGGAGTGGGAC